CCGTCACCGCCGCCGCCACCAAGATATCCAAGTCCTCAACCTAGTTATTCTTATCCACCACCGCCACCACCTCCACCTCCTCCACCACCGCCGCCGCCGCCGCCGCCACCAGGCTATCCAAGTCCTCAACCTAGTTATTCTTATCCACCACCGCCACCTCCTCCACCTCCTCCTCCGCCGCCACCGCCACCTCCTCCTCCGCCGCCACCGCCACCTCCTCCACCGCCACCACCACCTCCTCCACCGCCACCACCTCCTCCTCCTCCTCCGCCAACACCGTCATATATACCGCCTCCTCCACCGCCACCACCGCCTCCTCCTCCACCGCCACCACCGCCGCCTCCTCCGCCGCCACCACCACCTCCGCCGCTTCCTCCTCCTACACGTCGCACATATCTACCTCCACCTCGGCCACAACCACGACCTACATATCCGCCTGCGATATACGTATCTCCTGTCAATCAACCGTCTGTATCAACACCCGCGCCTACGTATTTACCACCGTATGGACAACAGGGAATCGCATCATCAGCTGCAGGTGGTTCCTTTGTTCCCAGTCCTTCAGGTGGTCTTTCAAACTTTCCAATAATTGGTGGTATAATAAAGTTGAGCGGACCAGCTGGAGGCTCAAGTTTTGCGACCGCCTCAAGTTCAGCCAGCGCTAGTGCGTCGAGTGGAACGTTTATTGGACAATAAAATTAGTCGTCAATCTTCTGTTTCCATTCCTGCTATATCAAGTTACAATACTGCAGGACAATAGCTGTGAGCTATCCTTCCACATTGGGATATCCCTCTATCAGGATATTCCTCAGCAAGGATATTGTTAACTCTATCACTGGCAAGAGTTAAATTCTCCTCAAAATTACTCAGTATTCATTCCTTATACATCTATTTAATTTATTTAAGTTATTCTTGCGAAATTTTGTAACTTTACATAAACACCAACGACAATATCCATAATATGAGAAGTACCGATTATCATGATATCTTATAATTAGATTAGAAATAAGTTATGTTTATAAAATTTGAAGAAACTTGTTTGCAATTTATAATCAACTGATGTGAGATAAAATTTTTACATTGTTCAAGATAAAAATCAAATATTTTATAATATTATATCTAGATATAGTTCACGAAAATTGATAATGAATTGTCTATTCTTTATTTTTAAAACAAAACAAGTGAATATTTAGAAGCGAAAATGTTAAAATGTTAAAAGTATATAATGTATGAAAACGTATAAATCTTATAATAATTTAATTCCTGTTTTCAATAGATAACTGCATTGATAAAATAACTTAAGTTTTACAACGAAAAATCTTAGATTTAAATATAAAGAGAAAATCGTATGTAAAACAAATTAGTTATATTTTAATATATCTTTACAATCGATAAAACATCAGTGATAGATTCATAATAAATATATTTATATATTTAAGCACAATATTTTTTTCTCGTTGTAGCAAAAGGAAGTCAATGGCCTATTTAAAAAAACTTTCTCACATTTTAACATTAAGTTAAATTTAAGAATACTCACATAAATTTGACTAATGTTATTCAAATTAAATAACGTTATTATTTATCGAATTAAACATTAAAATGTTTTAATTACGTACAATTTGTTTTTTCAAAAATTAGTTCTCAAAATCACTTACATAAAACAAATGACATTTCATCTGCAAAATTCAATAAATATCAGAGATATCTTTGATAAATCCATCACAATTTTCTATAAACATCTAACAGGCGAACGATTAATTATCATTTTAAATATATCCCACAGTTATTCACGAATCATCCCGCGATCATATTTCACTAAGGAAGGTATTCGGATGAGTTTCATCTCATACTGTAATCTACTAGGAATGGTTGGCGACTTCTTATTCAGTAAAAAACTACAAATCAACGTAAGATTAAACTATGAGATGCGACACGTCGGCAGTGTAGGCGGCGGGCGACAACCGGATGTCGTCGGAGCGGGAGATTGGCCGTTGTCTCAAATCACTGTCACCGGGCCAGGCACGACCTGGACTGCGCGAGCCCACGTTCGCCCTGGCGACTGTGTCGACCGCTAAACTCACCGTCGCGGGATCGTTCAGACCGTTGCTCTGGATCCTTCGCTGTGTGACTATCGACGCCCGCAAAGTTTTCCGTTTCTGCTTACGAAATAAGAGAATACAATAATTGACGGCAAAAGTGTATGACATACGATCTAAAAGTGCTAAAGTCATGCATAAAGATAAGTAAAGTAGATCTCAAAAGTAGATTTTAAGGGTTTTCTTGTTAGATAACTTTAAGAAATTTCTTAAGAAATAATTTCAAGAGCAATACTTTCACAAATAAAATTGTACCATGATCGGAGTAACTTAATTATTTCGATTAATTTGATGTAATTTGATTAAATCGACCTTGTCGACTTCTTTAAATTGATTAAATTGAATTACCTCGATCATCCCTCGCCACTTGTCGGCGGCGTGTCTTGCTAATTCCATTTTTCTCTGTTTACGTATTTGGTGCTTCTTGTATGCCATTTCGATTATAATTAGAGCGACTCCGCCGCCGATACCGACACCGACGACGATGAACACTCCTGCCATGTTTTCTAGGCCGAGAGTGTTTGGCATTTTTTCAAATTGTTCGCATTGTTGCACATTGCCATGCAAGATCCAAAGATTGTCGAGACTCTCCATGAAACCACCTGCAAAAGAATCACAATTAGAAGAAAGTAACGAATCTCGTTGAATGGAAAATCAGAATCGCGCGAGCATGAAGTGCTTTGCATTAAGACTTGTTGCACACTTTCGTGGAAGTCTAAGATCGCCAATGTCACAGCATCCGCCCAAGGCGATCCTTTTTGCAAACCAATTCCGTAACCTGAACGGCCAAATAGTTCACCAGCCGTCACTAATTCGCAATCTTGAGCTGCTTCGAATTCCAGTCGCGAGCTATCCCAGATGAAGGCCATTAATTTTCTGAAGGGAAAAAGAACAATGTGATTATGTAATCACGTGCAAAATATATTAAACGATACGATTATTGATGCCGACAAAAATATTTAAACGTTTATTAATTAAATGTATGTTAGATTGTGCTTCAATTATTTTACGATTTCGTATACGAAATCGAAGATATTGAGATTTTAAATAATAAGATTTTAAGATTATAGATTTAATATATATATATATATTTATATTATAATAATTCAATAATCTAAGACTTTTAACTTAAGCAAAGGATTAATGGTCCCAAAAATCGAAATGCTTACCCAATTTTAATGTCGCGAATCGCGTCTTCGGCAGTGTCATAGTTATTCGCCTCCATTGTACGATACATATTAGACAATTCTACTTGGCGTCTGAAATACATATCCACAGCGGATCCCTTCACTGTTGCACATGTCAAATTTTCCATCGTATTCCTAAGCTTTACAAATAAACATCGCAACTGTTTATATCGGATTGCATATCAGATACATTGATTCTCGGTAAGGAACATAGTTTTAATCCTTACTCGAGCATCGTTGATGCCGGTGAGTTTAGTTTTTGGTCGCTCCAAAACGAGGAACGCCGCCAAATTAGCGGTGTACGATGCGACGATGATCATAGCGAATCCGGCCCACACCATTCCCAATACACGCGCGGAAAAACTTCGTGGAGTACCTATAAAATATAAATAAACAATAAAAAAATTTGATTAACAATTAAATGGCCACGTAGAAAACGATATATCGAAGTATATATTTGAGAGCTCTAGTTTAAAGATTCTTCGACTTTAAATTTGTAATTATTTTTTTCTTTTTTAGTCCGTTTCTCCCTCTAAATGCAACATCTGATTATGAAATGAATGGAAAAGAGATGAAAGAATAATACCTTACCCTCTCCTATACCGCTATTCAATAATACACCCCAAGCGAACCAGATAGCACTGGATAGATTGAGGGCATCTTCCTCGGTGCCGTCAGTATTAGCTAGTTTGAATCTGCCGAAGGGTGAAAATCGATCGAGCAGATACAAAACTAACGCCACTACGTGCACCGATACCATTACGAGGATCCAAAGGGTATTGCTGAACGGTTGTAAGAAAGAGACTAGAGTGGATGATCTTGAAGGCTAAATTCAGAAAAATATACATATTTATTTTTGCATAAAAATTTTGTATGACGTTTTATTTTGTATAGAATTAAAAAGAATACCTTTTTCTCAAGGATAGTGATGCCTTGATACTTGAAGGGCTTACTGAATTCGATAAACTCAGCACGCTCTGGATTGATTGTTAATGGTGCGACGATCATGTCTGCTCGTTCGTTGACTATCTCACCAATAAGACCTGTCCATTCTTTTTTTCCTCCGACTTTTGATGTATCGAAACGCGAGAAAAGAATGAGAAAAAACACAAAATACAAATTTAAATTATTAATCCATTAATGTCTAAAAATTAATTTAGAAAGATAAAATCCAAATGGATTCTTTCAAGACTTATTCCTAAATAACAGCGCTTGCAAAGCGCTAAAAGCGATTACGTACGCCTTTTTATCGCTTTGTAAGCGCTATGTGCTACTTGGGTAGCACTTTCTTTAAAAATTTAATATCTTATATTTATATAAAATTCTATAATTCTGTTACTTACCCGAAGTATTTTTGATCACGTAGCTGCCAAACTGACCATCCGGCGATAGAGCTAAACTGTACGTGAAGTTAATCGATTTCGACAATTCCTTTAATAGATCCACGCAATATCCTTTGCAGCAAAACATTTGATTATCTATTGAAAAGAAAAAAAATTACGTTCTATTATATTTTCTAAATAATTTTGAATACTATTGAATACTATTGATTTGGTGCAACAGAAACATTAACAACTTGTTTGAGTAGACGTAATATTTATAGAGAATAAATTAATAAATCAAATAAATTGAAAATTCTCAAAACACATAATTTGAATCAAACTTCAAATAAGTTAACTAATGATTCAATCAATTTACTGATTCAATCAACAGAATCGTTTGTAAATAATTTTAATTCTAATCTCTTTTTTTATGTATTAATAGGAAAAAAAAGATTAATAGTTCTATCCAAGCTATAATAAGATGACAAATATTATTCCACAAATTAAAATAATAATTTGGTTAAAAACAAGTCTTCACTATTCTGTTAATTAACAATGCACCGTCTGTTAGGTTGAAGTGTGGACATGCGATTTCCTCAGGTAAACACTCGGCCTCATTGTCAGGTAATTCGCGAACATAAACGAATGGCTTCTCCTCGATTGTTAGCACCTTCAAATGTGTAGGTATCATGAAACCTTCGGGTTTGATCTTCAGACGACCAGGCCATATAATGTTGGATTCGTTCACTCGCAGCTTCATCTTGGTAGCATTCTATTCAGTAACAAAGAATCATTACGTTTGAACTACGTGACTAACACAAGAATGTGTCATTTTATATAGGATGCTTGTTGAATTATCTACTCACAGCGGGATAAAAGTACTGGCCGACGGACATCTGCGTCTTGTTGTTGTCTGGACCTGTGTATTGGATGTTGATTATATCATACTCGGCGAATATGCGATCCCCGTTATCGTCGAATGCCACTCGACCTGTCGAACCATACGGTAATACTTGCTTGCGAATATACCTGAAAAGACAAATAACAAAAGAAAAGAGCTGACGTGATAGAATTTTTATTGCTACCAGGATTGATAGAAAAAAAGTTTCGAATTAGAAAATTAGATAGATAAGAGATGATCATACTGGAAAAGCTTCTTGCCAGTTTCCCATATAGAGCCGGAATCGCTGCAGTCCTTCGGTGCTTCGGTGATCTTCTCCGTCTGATTCATCATTCGCAATGCGGATACGAGGACATATCTAAACAGTACGCAGAGAAACAAATATAGGAAAGACAAATTTTTAAGGAACTAAAAATTTTTTTGAGATAAAGACCCATTAATTTTCAAAAAGAACTCTTATTATTTTCTTATTATTAATTGTATTTAATTATTCGAGATGTATAATATCTAAATAGCTTAAAAAAATATCAATTCCCAAAACATCAATGCCTAAGTAAAGGCAGATGTGCAATGCAGTGGAAACCTGGTAAATATAATAGTAGTTTAAAGCATATACTAACAAGCTGTCAGATATATGTGATTTTTCTTGGGTAGCATTGATCAGCTTCAACCCCAGCAAGCCATCTGGCGCATTTGGCGCGTCTAATGCCTGTTCGGTGACGATCCACACATATCCGGCGCCGGTCATGTTTAGATTAGCTGCGTCGTTGAAAATCACTTCAGCATCCTTCTTCCTGTCAAAAAAGTTTATTGAAGTATTTTCGCAACTGAAGTCCATGATAAGATCGTTAAATAATCATCAAAATTGTAAGACAATGTTATTACTTATACTGTATGGTTATAGCTCATCATTTTTTTTTATATTAGAATTTATTTATTATTTTAGAATAGAATTCGTATTTTATATTTCTTATTTTATTTCACCATAATTCTCGAAATCCGTAAATGATGAATATACTCACGAAGCATACATGAGGCAGACTCTCGCTTGTGCGCTTTTCATTTCCCTCAATTGCTCCTCGAAATTGTGTAATCCCGGTTCGAATTCGATAACTGATTCGACCTGAAATAATGATATTTAGTAGCAGGAAATTCTTCTTTTTAATCTAGATAATGTAAGTAATAGCAATTATTGAAGAAATTACATAACTATTAGTATAAAGTACTAAAGTGTAGGATCTATAAATTATAATATAATTAAATAATAATTGAAGTATTAATATAATATTAACATTATTGCCATAATATTATTGCCATAATCTAAATTATTGTGCAACGTGCCTGCACTTTGATTTCTACGTCGTCTTCTAAATTCTGTGATGTCGTCTGGAAACGTCCAAGGAGCGCACGACCATCCGTATCGGAACTATGGATGAAGATAATCTTCATGTAATTAAAGTGCTTCAGCAGTTCTACCCAGACATCCGCTTGATGAGAATACGGTGGTACAGTACGCAAAAATGAGACATGAATATTCTGGAAAGATGTTACCGTTCAATTATCGCGGCATCCTTAATCACATATAATCATACAATGTAGATTGTTTTTTATTTGTTTTTTTTTACTATAATATAAAAGATTTTTGTTTAGTAATGTATTAATTTTCAAATATTTGAAATGGATTTTCTCAAAAATATTGTAAGCTTACATATGAAATTTTTACAAAAAGAAATAATATACTTTCGGTTTAGTTTTACGCGTTAATTTACTTTAATTTCTGTATCTATTATTAAATTGTGCGAATTATTTATTTTATTTTATACATACTTTATCCGAAAAGGCGGAATCCCTGGATGATATGCCAATCACGGGTATGTGATAAAAACCGCTTGTATAAGAAACCGCTGCTGGTGATAAATCGCCTGTAAGCGGATGCGACACCACTACTGCATACACCTGTTCGGCTATCAAAGATCGGCAGACGCTCAATGCGGTTCTGATAGGGTTGGAGTCCATTTCGATTACTGTGTGCTTGTATGTCACCCCTTTATTGACGTATTGGAAATCGAAATTGAGATGCTGAAATTGAGGTATATGTATGTATGCATAGTCATATTGAATATATATTAGATATATTGTACAAGTATATTATAACGCTCAGAATTCTCTTTAAGATACATTTAACAATTATATAAGTGATGTTATACATACATATATA